TAGTAAGTCTACCAATTTTTTTGTTTTTGGTTTCAAAGGTAAAGATGTTGACGTACTTGTAGGTCTACATTACAAAAAAAATTATTTTGGTCAATTGCAAAAGTAACCTGTGCGTTGACAAGTAGACTGCATCGTAAGTCTACACGTATGTGTAGACATATAATACAGTCTACTTTCGCGATACAGATCAGAGATGTGATGAAAAGCATGTAAAGAGTTACCTTGACACCGGTTTAAAGCTTGTTTCCAAGCTTTTCCACCGTCCAGAATCCAAATATGAGCAAAAGAAGCAACCTTTACGATCCACTTGTGGATAAAATCGAAATTTTGAAGTTTGTGTTTATGAAAATGAGAGTTATGAGGATTGTTTAGATGAAAATAGAGAGGAAATGAGAGGAANGAGAAATGTTTAGGGTGTAATAGGTTTTTAATAATTTTCGAAAATAAAATCAGATTTAAAAATAATGGCAATTTGGTAAATAAGTGGAAACATGAGGAGAGTTTAGGTTTTTTAAGAGTGAATAGTAATGGACAAAAAAAAAGAGGTTGGTTTTGTGTTTGACTTGAAATTTTAGGTTGGTTTTGCAAAACCCCCTTAAATCTAATTATCCATTATGGTTAATAAAGACTTAACAGAATATAAACTGTTTTTATATTATGATAATTATAGAATTAATTAATGAAATTTGTTTTAAATTTATGATTAATAATATATTAACAAATTTAATTGATTATTGATTAAAAAAATTGATTATTGATTAAGGATGATAATAATATATTGAGATCATGAAAATTAACCAAAATAACCTAAAATTATGGGAAACATGATAAATCAGTAAATTTAATTCTCAAATAATAATATAGATATGATTTTAATTAGAATGCATTATTATTAATTATGAAAGGATTGCGGGATAATATTATAACTGATTTATGGAACATTTGTATATAAAACATATAATTAATTTTTATTATGCATATTATTAAACATTAAATTTGGGTAATCTATTTTATGAAAATTCTTATTAACTATTATTTGTTATTTATTCAGAAATTTTAAATTATTATAAATTTATTTCTTAGCAATTATTATATTGTATACTATTGCTTTATACCAGTTATGTTTTATAAAAAAACTACAGTTTCTACAGCAATATAAGCTACAACTAGGTAATGTTGTGGTATTTGATTATTGCTTGTATTTTTCAATTAAATATCTTATATTACATACAAAAGATTAAACAATATATATTTTAATTCTTATAAATGTTTTTAATTCAAAAATATAGACTATAAGAATAATTTGTTACAAAAAAGGATCATAAGAATAATTATATATACAGACTATAAAAGGGACACATGTCATAATATGGGGTACCAGAATACAATTTGCTATATATTTTTAAAATATTTTTTTTGTACAGTATTTGATTTATTGTTTGTATTTTTTAAACATTAAATTTTGTATACAATATACAAAAAATCATTAGAAAGTAATTATATTAATCGCCATAAATTTTATTTATTTTTAAATTCAAAAGTCAAAGAGTTGTATACATAACATTACAAAAGGGACACGCTTCAAAATATGAGATACCAAAAGAGGTAATCTTTTGGTATTTTCAGAGAATACATTAATGTAATATATTAACTTAATTTGAATAGAGGTAAATACTATTTTCTATTGGCTAAAAAAATATTCTGATACTCCCATCATTAGATAGTAATTATATTAATTCATGTATATATATATATATCTATATTTTTAAAATTGAAATATCTTTTAGTACTATTTGGAAATATGGATAACAACATAAATGAAAATTATTTGGGAACATGAATATCAGTGTCCTTTTAATATTTTTATTTACAATTTAGCCATTGTAATTAGAATAAATTAAACTGTCACTACATTTAAAATCTATTTAAATTAATTAATTACAATTCCATAGCAGATGGTGTTGTTGATGATATAAAATTATCAATTATAATATAGTAATGTTATATTTTTAAAAAATATAGTATTAACTTTTTAATTTAGTCATATAAAATTATTTTAAGAGTTGGATTTTCAAGAAAAAATATCATAAATTAATAATAATTCATAGAAAACTAATACAACAAAAATTAAAAATTTTGGTATGCTGTTTCATTTTAAAATAATTTAACAAAAAAAATAACAGGTTAATAGATGAATAGTATAATTAAATTAAGTTATAAAGTTCTTAATATAATATTATGTATAAATGAAAAATTATTATCAAACATCTATATTGTAAAATAATTTATTCTACTCTATATGTAAATTACAAAACATAAAAATATATATAATTATTTTATGAAACTACTGATTTATGAATTTATGTTGAATACAAGTTAACTCAAACATCCGCGGGGTTCGAATCAAGTTCTAGTTTTTGTTTAATTCAACAGTCAAGATTTTTAAGGATAATTAAGAGCTATATACAGAAGATTATATCAAAAATGACACGTCAGAATATGAGATACCAAAAAGATGTAATCTTGTGGTATATTTAGAGAATCAATTAATGTAAGATATTGACTTTGAATAGAGGTAAATACTATCTAATCTATTAAAATGTTTCTTCATATGCATTTGACCAGAAGTCTAGAACTAATATAAATTCACCTTCCAACACTCTCATTCATACAGTTTCATTAGAAGAGAAGAAAAATGAACGGCGAAGGAAAGGTGGTCTGCGTCACTGGAGCTTCCGGGTACATAGCGTCATGGATTGTTAAGCTTTTGCTTCAACGTGGCTACACCGTTAGGGCCACCGTTCGAGACCCAAGTTTGTTTCTCTTCCTTTATCTAAATTAAATATGTTTTTACAATATACCGATAGATCATATAGGTGGTACGTATATATAAATACACAAACATATATAGATATCTTTGTGCACTATGACATATGTGTGTTTTCTGCAGATGATCAAAAGAAAACGGATCATCTTCTTGCACTTGATGGTGCAAAAGAAAGACTCCGCTTATTCAAAGCAAATCTTGTAGAAGAAGGCTCTTTCGAAGATGCAATCGATGGATGTGAAGCTGTCTTCCACACCGCTTCACCAGTTTCACTCACTGCCGAGGATCCTCAGGTTCGTCAGTGATGGCACTTTGTTCGTACCTATACAATCCTTAAGAGTTTGCATGAATCAGTAAGTAGTCTCACATAGGAAACTAGGGAGGATGTGAGAGGACGTGAGAGCATGATTAACCCGAGTTCTTAATTTAGGGTTCTTAACTAATGATTTGACTTTTTTTTTTACACTTTTCGGCTAAGAACCGGAGTTAAGAGAAGGTTTTCTTAGTTAAAATCTAAAAACGGTTCTTACCAGAAAATCCGGGTTAATCATGGTCTGATATGATCTAAGCCAGTCATATATAACCAATTGGTTTACATTAGTTAACCTTTACTCTTGATTTTTCAGGCCGAGCTGATCGAACCAGCAGTCATTGGTACTTTAAACGTCCTAAAGACTTGTGTTAAAATGTCTTCTGTTAAAAGGGTCATCTTAACATCATCCATCGCTGCCATCATTGCTAATGCGTCTCCCTCCGGACCAAACGGCTTAGTAGATGAAACCATGTTCTCTGATCCAAGTTTTTGTGAAGAGAAGAAGGTCTTAATATAGTGTCATAACATATGAATAAGTTCATGAGTACTCACATTATAATTTTTTTTTATTGCTTTCAGCAATGGTATGCACTCTCGAAGACGTTGGCCGAAGATGAAGCATGGAAGTTTGCCAAGGCCAATGGGCTGGACTTAATCGTCATGAATCCAGGACTTGTGATTGGACCAATCTTGCAGCCAACTCTTAATTTCTCTGTAGCCGTGGTTGTGGAACTTACAAAGGGTAAGGATCCTTTTATGACAAAAAGTTATAGGTTTGTGGACGTGAGAGATGTTTCTCTAGCTCATATCAAGGCACTCGAGACTCCATCATCCAATGGAAGATACATCATCGATGGTCCGGTTGTTGCGACATTAAAGGACATTGAGAAAGTTTTGCGCGAGTTCGTTCCCGACTTGTGCATTGGTGATGATAAGTGAGTTTTATTTATTTATTTATAATTTACAATTATGTTTCAAAAATTTAAAAATCAATAACTAATATATTTCTTTTGATTTATTTCTAGGAACAATGAAAACATTGATCTTGATTTAGTGACATACAAGGTGTCTCTTGAGAAAGTAAGGAGTTTGGGAATTGAGTTCACTCCTACAGAAACGAGCCTTAGAGACACTGTTCTCAGTCTCAAGGAGAAATGTCTAATGTGATTCTCTTTGTCGTTTTTTGTACTATTTATTGATTTCACTATTATAGTGACATGAATAAGTAATTTGTTTAAGAAAAAGTAAAGATATGGAGTGATTATCTGTTCACTGGAGTCATCTCTCGTGGTTGTTGATCTTTGATGGTCAATTCATGTGCATGCTCATCTTTAGTTTTGAGAGGAATGGAAAGAGATAACTATTTAGCGAAGCGAATGCTTCACTGTTTGGTCGACTACCGCTGAGTTGATCGTGTTAGTCTTGGGTTTGGAGTGGTTTTTATCCAGTTATCGTGGCTGTGTTATTAAGTTGTGCTTGAGAAGCTTTTATTGGCTTCACCGTGGGGTATTGGTTCATATGAGACGCGTGGAGAGTCCATTCAAGGTCTAATGGCGAGTCTTAGTTGAGATTGAAGGGTATTTACAGCAACGGTTAAGGATTCTAACCTCTTTCGATTCAGTTTATATGTTGGTGTTGTTCATATGATTCCAATTTATCTCATCGTTTTTCTCAACCTGTGTTAATTGTTGATGAGTTCTCATTAGTTCTATGTGTGGTGTTGGAGCGGGTTTGGGTTTCACTGATGGAAGCACTCTTGATGAGTTCTCACCTCACCGGCTTATGGCTCCAGAAAGATTTGATCACCTGGTTTTGTGTACTCTCTTGTTCAAGTTAATATAAATCTACCAGATGAAAAAAAAAAAACAACAACCATATTGTCCCAAACTGTGTTATTTACTTGTGTCTTGTGCCATCTTTTAATCTAAACTTTTCAACACAAAATTGTATTAATATTTTTTAAAAAAATATGAAAACAAACTTCATAAATTTTTGTATTCATACATAAAATAAAATATTAATATAATTTATTAAATACTGATAATTAATTTTTAGTAATAATAATGTTATTAGAGTTTCTCTTTTTGCTATTCTGTTTTTTTTCTTTGACCCTTATCTAAATTTCAATTCGTCTATTTTATATTATTCTTTTCTGTATTTTTCGTTTTATTACATTTTAGATCTTATTGGATGGATGCATTTGTTTTGCTCTAATTTAACAGAAAATCGTTTTTAAGACTATTAGATGAAAAAATTACAACTACCAGGATGAAAATCTTCAAAGAAGTTTGAAAAAACAGAAATTATGGAAAAGTATGACTATTTTAATTAAAGATATGTGATGTTTGGAAAAGATAACTGCTCATGGCAAAAATATTTGAAGTATAAAAAAGATATTAGTACCATTAGATGAAAAACAAAAAAAATAAACCCATTAGATTGTAACTCTTCAAATATGAAAAGGTATGACTCTTTTATGTAAAAAGATGTGTTGTTTGAAAAAATAATTGCTCATGGTAAAAGTATTTTATGTCTTAAAAAAACATTTCTTAAGACCATTAGATGAAAAACAAAACAACTAAAACCATTACATTGTAACTTTTCAAATATGAAAAAATATGTTTCTTTCATGTATTTCAAATAAATAAAATGATCACGTTAAAAGTATTTTATGTCTAAAAAACACTTTTTAGGACCACTAAATGAAAAAAATAATAATTAGAACCATCATATTGTAATTATTCAAAGAAATGTGTTGGTTCAAAATAACTATTTGCTCACGGGAAAAGTATTTTATGTCATACATATTTTTTAGGACTATATGTCTAAGAAAATATTTATCATGACCATTGGATGAAAAACGAAACAATTAGAACCATCAGATTACAACTTTTCAATATTTTAAACAAAACAATTAGACCCATCAGATTGCAACTTTTCAAATATGAAAAATATGACTCTTTAATTAGATGTGTTGTTTCAAAAAAAACTGCTCACAACAAAATTATTTTATATCACACATTTTTTAAGACCATTAGATGAAAAAAACACAAAAATTAAAACTATGAGACTGTAACTCTTCAATTTTTTTAAATTCAAGAATTATGAAAAAATATTTCAAAACAAAATTAATTATTTAATGAAGAAAAGATATTATTGTGACTTTTAAAAAAAAAAAATATGTACTTTGAAATAGATGTCAATTAAAAGAAGAATTTGAAATAGATGTCTATTGAAAGAAGAATTGACAAAAATTTAATGACATCTACACTCTTTGAAAATAATGTTTTATATCCATTAAATTCCTAAGTCAAATAAATTATGATCACTACATTCATACTATTTTTTCCTATAAAAAGTGATATTATCATAAGAGGTCTGCATAGATTAGGAAATGCCTCGATCAAAAATGAAAAGAGGAAACCCAGAATTGAATTTTAAAATGGTCTAATAAAACTATGAAAGAGCATAAATCAAGTAACCAAGTCCAAACTCCAAATGGATGTAATAACAACTGAAACATGAACTCGAACTAACGTTTTTGAATGCCAGGAGAAGCAAGAAAGAAGACAAAACTAGAAAATTTCTCAAGCAGTAACGGAAGGCTTGGCAGCAGCAGAAGAGAGTCTAGACCTCTTCTTTGCCAAACTCTCACTCCTCTTCTCACGTTGTTCCTTCAACCTTGAGGCAAGAAGCTTCTGGTACTCAGCTGCATCAGAGTTAGCCTTAGCAATCCTCTTCTTCTTGTCGGCGATTCTAGCTCTCTTCCTCTGAAGTGTCAAAGGAGTGACAAGCCTCTGGATCTTGGGGGCTTTGCTCACTTCCTTACCTGTACAAACCCCATGCAAAAAAAAAAAGTAACAAGTGTAAGAGACCATTATTCTTAAACCTCAAGATTGTGGTTTTGGTTCTCTTTCTTACCCTTTTTGTTTGTGAACTTGCGGCGGTAAGTGTTGACGTACTTCCTCACATCATCATCCTTAGTGAGGTTGAACAGTTTACGGATCTTGGAAGCTCTCTTAGGTCCCCTCATCCTTGGCTTCTCGGTATCGGTAAGCCCGGGAAGATCCTTCTCACCCTTCTTGACGATGACAAGGTTAAGAACAGAGAGATCTTGGCTGACAATGCAACCACGAACAGACTTTCTTCTCCTCTCTCCGGTCCTCCTTCCATGTCCTCTGAAGCAAGGAGTTCCTGTTCAGTCATAACCAAAACAATGTCCAAAATCAGCATACAAACAAGAAAGATGTAAGCTTTATGAAGGAGGAAAGATGATTGATTTACCTCTGTGAAGCAAAAGGCGAACACGGCCAGGAGTTAAAACTCCCTGCTTCATTGGGAAACCTTGCTTGTCACACCCACCCATGATCTTGAAAACGTACCCCTTGAACTCCTGCAAATAAACAGAGTTATCACCATTTGCTTCAATCTTACATAATCATGAGAGATTAATTAAGAAAAAAGATAAAAATTGCAACCTCGCCCAAAGCATCTCCACTGACTTCTTGAGAGAGTCTCTTATCATAAAACGCACGGCTGCATCAACAGATGTTAAAGGTCAATAAACTAATATTCATAGAACATAAGACCTAATTAAAATCCAGACATTTAGACATGTTTTGGTCGTGAATTGAAACATAGAAGATCTCAAGAAACAAAACGAATGGAAAATGTCGTTCTGTTCACTAACTAACATCCATAGATCATAAAGAAAAAAACTAACTAGAATCCAGACATGTTTTTGAGCAGACACGAAACCTAGTTTATGTAATGAAACATACAAGACAATCTCATGACCTGATCAGCATAAATCAGAACATACGAAACTTAAAGGAAAGCAAATGGTGTTCTGTTAACTAGTAACTAGGCCTAATAGTTACGAAAGAAAGGTGCTTACAGTTTCTGGTCATCGTCGATCTCGAGCTTCTTCTGGCAACCAGTGGTCGGATTCGCGACGTTGAACTGAAACACGGAAGCATAGAACAGAAATGAGCAAATGAAAATCAATTAAAAACTAAGAATCTCATTGTCGTCGCGGCTTTACCTTCATCTTTTCAGAGCCACACGAGAATGACGGCTTTGGCTATCGACGACGCTTAGGGTTTTCTACTCTTACTAAGCCAGCAACAATTTATATGAAAAAAAAAATAAGGTTTATTTGGTTTTGTGTTCTAATGGGCCGTTCGGCCCACTTAGTTTAGTTTTGTGTCTTTTTTTATACTATTATCAACTATAAATAAAATGGGCAAATGAAACCATTTTAACCTGTCTACGTCATCATAAATATTCAATCAATAGGAAATCAGTTTCTAGCCACGTCAGCGGCCTTGCCTTCGTCGTTTGGGCTTGAAATCTTGCACGGCCTGGCCACGTTCAATTACGAAAAGCCCACAAACCCTAATGTTAAAAATCGATTTGCACATCCCTTTCTCTTCATCTTCTTCGTTTCTACGTTTCACTTTTTTCAATTTACAAACAATCAATTCACTCTCCCTTCCTGTACGCACTTCAATCTCATTAATGGATTCCCTTTGCTTTACCCCTCTGAGTTTCTATATAAAGAATTTCCTCGATGTTTATATTTTCATCAAAAGTTGTATAATCCTCACAATAATTTATTGCGATGACTTTGTTCGTTGTTCCCGACTCACTGTCATCTAACGACGAAGCGGCGGTCAATTTCAGTCTGGTCAATTCCGTCGCCCAAACATGTATCATTGTTGAGACATGGAAAGAGTGAGGTTTCTGCTGCTCATCAGATCTCTCAATCTTGGTCTCATCGTCATGGTCTTTTTCATTAAGACATGACTAGGATTCGTGGCAGATGAGGAGAGCAAGATTGTCTCTAGGCTCACTCATTTTCAGGGCGGCGATTAAGACGACCGAGACGGCGGAGATAGAAACGGTGTGTCCGTACGCATAAATATAAATAAAGATGGAAACTTTGGGGGTTTGGGTTGATTGAATTTGTTATCGCAGTGAATATAGCACAGAGGAGTGCTAAATCTTTGTATTCGATTTCGGAAATGTTTTTAAAGAAATCTAAGAACATATCTTGGACTTCCAGGTATCTGTTATCTACTATAAATAAAAGGGGCAAATGAAGCCATTTTAGCCTGTCCACGTCACCACAAATATTCAACCAATAGGAAATCAGTTTTTAGCCACGTCAGCAGCCTTGCCTACGTCGTTTGGGCTTGAAATCTTGCACGGCCTGGCCACGTTCAATTACGAAAAGCCCACAAACCCTAATTTTAAAAATCGATTCGCACATCCCTTTCTCTTCATCTTCTTCGTTTCTTCGTTTCACTTTTTTCAATTTACAAACAATCAATTCACTCTCCCTTCCTGTACACTCTTCAATCTCATTAATGGATTCTCTTTGCTTTCCCCCTCTGAGTTTCTATATAAAAAATTTCCTTGATGTTTATATTTTCATCAAAAGTTGTATAATCCTCACAATACTTTATTGCGATGACTTTGTTTGTTGTTCCCGACTCAATGTCATCTAACGGCGAAGCGGCGGTCAATTCCAGTCTGGTCAATTTCGTCGCCCAAACCGGTATCATTGTTGAGACATGGAAAGAGTGAGGTTTCTGCTGCTCATCAGATCTCTCAATCTTGGTCTCATCGTCATCGTCTTTTTAGTTAAGACATGACTAGGATTCGTGGCAGATGAGGAGAGCAAGAGTGTCTCTAGGCTCACTCATTTTCAGGGCGGTGATTAAGACGACCAAGACGGCAGAGATAGAAACGGTGTGTCTGTACGCATAAATATAAATAAAGATAGAAACTGTGGGGGTTTGGGTTGATTGAATTTGTTATCGCAGTGAATATAGCACAGAGGAGTGATAAATCTTTGTATTCGATTTCAGAAATGTTTTTAAAGAAATCTAAAGACATATCTTGGACTACCAGGTATTTGTTATCTACTATAAATAAAAGGGGCAAATGACGCCATTTTAGCATGTCCACGTCACCACAAATATTCAACCAATAGGAGATCAGTTTCTAGCCACGTCAGCGGCCTTGCCTTCATCGTTTGGGCTTGAAATCTTGCACGGCCTGGCCACGTTCAATTACGAAAAGCCCACAAACCCTAATGTTAAAAATCGATTTGCACATCCCTTTCTCTTCATCTTCTTCGTTTCTACGTTTCACTTTTTTCAATTTACAAACAATCAATTCACTCTCCCTTCTTGTACGCACTTCAATCTCATTAATGGATTCCCTTTGCTTTACCCCTCTGAGTTTCTATATAAAGAATTTCCTCGATGTTTATATTTTCATCAAAAGTTGTATAATCCTCACAATAATAGATTGCGATGACTTTGTTCGTTGTTCCCGACTCACTGTCATCTAATGACGAAGCGGCGGTCAATTTCAGTCTGGTCAATTCCGTCGCCCAAACATGTATCATTGTTGAGACATGGAAAGAGCGAGGTTTCTGCTGCTCATCAGATCTCTCAATCTTGGTCTCATCGTCATGGTCTTTTTCATTAAGACATGACTAGGATTCGTGGCAGATGAGGAGAGCAAGATTGTCTCTAGGCTCACTCATTTTCAGGGCGGCGATTAAGACGGCCGAGACGGCGGAGATAGAAAAGGCGTGTCCGTACGCATAAATATAAATAAAGATGGAAACTTTGGGGGTTTGGGTTGATTGACTTTGTTATCGCAGTGAATATAACACAGAGGAGTGCTAAATCTTTGTATTCGATTTCGGAAATGTTTTTAAAGAAATCTAAGGACATATCTTGGACTTCCAGGTATCTGTTTTCTTGGATTTCCAAAAAATGTATTCGATTATTTTTTCTTTTGGTAAAACCCTTTTGGGATTGACGTAATCTGGCTGCAACTGTTCTTCAGAGTTGAAAAGTTTTCTGTTTTGAAAAGGTTTGGTTTGTCTTCTTCTTCTTTGGAAAGTGGTTGAGAAGCAAGCCTTCTTCAAGGGGATCTTTTTAGCAACCGGTGAAAGTTTCCTGCTTTTTGAAAGGTAACTATTTGTCTTCTTTGGAAAGTGATTCACATTCATGGCTATTATACTGTATTTTGTGGAGTTTATGTTATAAGCTTTATTTTGTATGTTGAAGGTTTTGCTTTTGGGATATATGTTTGGGGGTGTCTTTTTTGTGCCTGTGAATAATCCTCACTTGCGCAAATGCTGAAGTAGGCTCATCATCACCAATCTTGGTAACCACTTTCTCTTATTTTTTTTGTTGTTGTTTATCTCTGTTTGGATACTAGAAAAGTCAGATCTGAACATGGTGATTTTAAGACAGAAAAAAACTGTAACATGGTGACTGAGTATAAGGTTTTGACAGGAGAGTTGCATGTACCAACTGATGCATCCAACCCCACCATAAGAACATCTCTTGGGTTTGCCGCATATGCTCCCGAAAAAGATGCATTAGTTTGGAAAATCAAATCTTTCCCGGGGAACAAGGTAAGAGTGTATAAATTTTTTTAACGCAAGAAGTGAGCATATAATGTTGAATGCTTTGACAAATTAGTTTTGAAACAATGTAGGAGTATATGTTGAGAGCAGAGTTCCATCTCCCAAGCATAACCGCAGAGGAAGCCACCCCTGAGCGAAAAGCTCTTTTCCGTGTCAAATTCGAGATCCCATATTTCACTGTTTCAGGAATACAGGTTAGTTTCTATGTATATATATATATCGCGTAGTTTCTATGTTTCTGCACTTAAAACTGAAGAGTCCTGGTGCGTGTAAATTATGGTTATTGCAGGTTCGGTACCTGAAGGTGATTGAGAAGAGTGGGTACCAAGCTCTTCCGTGGGTACGAACTCAGACTCATGTAACATGAGATTTGTGTTGTTGTTTCTTTTGTTTTTATTTAAAGCCATATTTGTCAACGAAAGAAAGCAGAGGAAGATGGAAGAAAAGGAAAACAAAATTAGCTGATAATTTTTTTTTTTTGATAACTCAGGTGTCCGGGGCTTATTTAGAGACCCGACTATCCCCCGAAGAGGTCCTGAAGGCCAAACGGAAACCATGTTAAATCCGCTGTGGCCGGGGCTCGAACTCGTGATGGCAGGCACCTCAGCCGAGGTTCCTTTACCACCAGACCACGAGGCCCGGTTATTAGCTGATAATTTCTTACGGTGAAGGTTGTTTTAGCAGCCCATATTTCTTGTGAATTGTTTCATGGTGTTTCTCTTTATGTTTTCTGTAAGCTTTTAATGACACTTTTTAATCTTTGTTAAAATTGTTAAACAACGAGCATTTTTCTAATGGCCACTCTGTATGTGTTCTTTCTGATATTTTTCATGTGGGTCCTTCTTCTTCTTTCAACGATCCACCCACTGATCTTGTTGAGAGAGACCCACACCCAGCAACAACTATCCCATCTTCTACCTCTATTTCTTTCGATTTAGCTTCATTCATATTGCATATTATCTAGTCTCCGTCAATCCATTTAGTTCTCCAATCACCCGATTCATTCTGCAATATTAAAATTGGATCTCATTACTTTTATTTATACAATGTCGATTTGCGTCATTGGTATTTTATATTGTTTTGTTAATCTATGAACCCCATATTTCGAAAATGACTAAGTAAATATCAGACTTTAAGGAATCAAACGGGAAATATTTGTTAAGTAGGACCGTGGGTCCATTTGGGTCTTACACGTGGATCAAGTACCACCATCTTCCACCTGCATCTGTTCTCTTTCACATGATGTACAAACAGTTTACTACGTCTTGTTCTGACAGTATTATCTTCATAAGGTGGTAGTTTCGTTTAGTACAAAAGAAAACACTATCATTAAATGTAAACGAAAATAATCAATCGTAAACAAATCGGGGGCGAACTTAGGATTAATTATTAGGGGTGTCATAACGTGGGCCTTAGCCCAAAATAATATTAATGAAAGAAAAAAAAGCAGTTCAGGTGATTCGAACCCGAGAAATGGTGGGTCAAATGAAAGGGAGAGTTAACCAAACGAGCTATGGAATTTTTAACGTTATATATTACACATGCTGTTACTTATTTTAACCTGTGTCAGCTGCAACCCTATTTGTCTACGT